GAGGTCAGGAGTTCAAGACCAGCCTGGCCAACATGGTGAAACCCTGTCTCTACTAAAAATACAAAAATTTGCCAGGTGTGGTGGCAGGCCCCTGTAATCACTGCTACTTGGGAAGCTGAGGCAGGAAAATCGCTTGAACCCAGGAGGCAGAGATTGCAGTGAGCCGAGATCATTCCACTGCACTCCTGTCTGGGTGACAGAGCAAGACTCCGTTTTGAGAAAGAAAATAAATAAATAAATAAAAACAACTCAAGGGTCAGATAACATAGCCAGTATAACCATAATTCAAAATAAGCAGCAGAATTTGGAGGATAATTTCCTTCATTCTCAGGAAAATGTGAAACTCCGAAACTGCTTTTTGAGTGCAGGGTATTTCTGGGGCTTTTCCTAAAGTCTTGACCCTTGGCTCTGACCCCTTATTTGGAGTTTGGAGACAGAACTGAGGACTGTATTACTACAGCTGTGGACACAGGAGAGGGGTTAGTCTCCCCCGGCCCCAGGAGTAAGGGAAGCTGGGCTGCTTGAACACAGGCCTTTTTAGAACTCCCTTCAAACAGAATCCCAGAGATGTGGGGAGATGTAAGTGGCCTTAAGACTGATTGTGCTACAGCTTTCGAAAACGATAATGCCTTTCAAATATGGCTTATTACTTGCATCTCAGTATCGCCCATGTACCTTGGGTGGAATATTTTGCAGAAGATCTTTCTGTCAATCATTTACAATCATGTGCTGCAAAGCAAAGTTTAGGTCAACAATAGACCACATATATGATGGTGGTTCTATAAGAGTATAATGGAGCTATCCCTGTACAGGTATACCATTTTTATCCTTTTTTATTTTATTATTATTATTATTTTTTGAGATAGAGTCTCACTCTGTTGCCCAGGCTGGAGTGCAGTGGTGCAATCTCAGCTCACTGCAACCTCTACTTCCCGGGTTCAAATAATTCTCCTACCTCAGCCTCCTGAGTAGCTAGGATTATAGGCACGCACCACCACACTCAGCTAATTTTTGTATTTTTAGTAGAGACTGTTTCTTGCCATGTTGGCCAGGCTGGTCTCAAACTTCTGACCTCAGGTGATCCACTCACCTCAGTGTCCCAAACTGCTGGGATTACAGGCGTGAGCCACTGCACCCGGCCCCCATTTTTATCTTCTATACAGTATTTTAACTACACCTTTTCCAGGTTTACATACACAAATACCTGCCATGGTGTGACAGTTGCCTTTAGTATTCAGTACAGTAACATACAGTACAGGTTTGTAGCCTAGGAGTCGTAGGCCATACCACATAGCCTAGGTGTGCTGTGGGTTACACCACCTAGGTTTGTATAAGTATACGCCATGATGTTAGCACAGTGGTGAAATCACCCAATGACACATTTCTCAAGCTCCTCACATGGCAAGCAACGCATGACTGCATATGAAAGCTCTTAAATAGGGATTGTCTAAATCTCAAAACAGTAATTTACTACATATGGTATGTTTTTTTATTAAAAAAAAAAAAGCAAAAGTATCATTTCAGTGGGAACTTAACTTGAGGCTAGTGTTTTCTTTAACTTTCACCCCAAAGTTGCGAAGTGTTTTGAAGTTTTTCCCTGTAAAATAATTATTTTAATTCAATTTAAATAAAACCCATCAAGAATCTTTAAGCTTTAAGAAGTCTAGCTTCCTGTGAAATATTAGAGGAAGTCAGCACTGATTTCAGGAATCTGATTATAACAATAGATCCATCCCTAAATGAGGCGAATCTTGAAATCTCTTCAATTTTAGTTTAGTTTTTTGAGACAGAGTTTCTCTCCTGTTGCCCAGGCTGGAATGCAATGTTGTGATCTCGGCTCACTGCAACCTCTGCCTCCCAGGTTCAAGCGATTGTCCTGCTTCAGCCTCCCGAGTAGCTGAGATTACAGGTATGCACCACCACACCTGGCTAATTTTGTATTTTTAGTACAGATGGAGTTTCACCATGTTAGTCAGTCTGGTCTCGAACTTCTGACCTCAGTGATCCACTCACCTTGGCCTCCCAGAGTTCTGGGATTATGGGTGTGAGCCACTGTGCACGGCCCCCCTTCAATTTAAAAACCATCACTATGCACCCTATGCCTATGCTAGGCACTGGAATAAGATGAAACATCTTGGAGTTTACATGCTGGTAATTGTGCCAGACAGTAATAAAATAGGTAAGAATGGCTGTGGGGGAAGTCAGCTGTGTTCTAGTTACAGTCGCATTTCAGGAAATTATTTAACATGTTGACTTTAACAACCTAAGCCTCTTCTCCATGTGTGCACACAGGATAGATCTCTGAAAGGTGGTGCTGTAACTTCTAGGGTAATGGCTGTGTTGAGTCAAGGCAGGATGACAGTTCAGCCTAAATGACTGTCATGTGCGTGGTGCCTGCCACTCTAACTGGCACCCATTTTGCAGGTCAGTTGCTCTCCCTGGAAGGAAGAGTATTCTCGAATTTCACCTTGAAGGAGGAAGAATTCAGGCTACCAGAACTGGACTAGCACTTCTTCCTTGGGAAGCTCTGCTGTGCCCTCACCCCACCCCACCCCACCCCACCCCACAACACCACAGCAGGCCGCTGGAGTTGTGGGACCACCTGGGTCTATGGACCAAATCCTTCCTCACTAAGGGGAGGGGAAGGGTGTTCCAGCCGGGCAGGGTGGGAAGGCTGCTTGGGCGGCATTGTGAGATGAGTGCCCTGGTGACATGGAACAGATCTGTGGCATAAATAAAGGTGTCATAAACACAGGGCGGGGCTCACGCTTATAAGGGGCAGGAGCCTCTCAGGGTTGCCAGAATGGCTCCCGCTCAGTGCGCGGCGCCAGCCTGTATCATGTCCCGGCTGCGTTTCTGGGGCCTATGGCCCCTCCTCACGTGGCAACTATTGTGTCTACTAGTCAAGGAGGCTCAGCCTCTGGAGTGGGTCAAGGACCCACTCCAGCTGACCTCTAACCCCCTGGGGCCGCCTGAGCCCCGGTCTTCCCGCTCCTCCCATCTCCCATGGGAATCTCCCCATGCGCCTACTCCCCCGGCAGACCCGGGGGACTTTGATTACCTGGGGCCCTCTGCTTCCTCGCAGATGTCAGCCCCACCCCGGGAATCGACTGAAAATTTGGTTCCATTCCTGGACACGGATTCAGCTGAAGAGCTGCCCCTGGGGCCAGAGCAGTTCTCCGCTGCACACCAGGATTTAAATGACAAGCCGACTCCGGAAGAAAGGCTCCCAGAGGTGGTCCCACTGCTGGATGGGGATCAGAACCAGACCCTAGTTCAGCTTCCTCGCCTCAAAAGCAAGGTTCCAACTGCAGATCTAGATTGGGCTGCAGGTCATCAGGCAGATGAAATACTTGTTCCGCTAGACAGTAAGATTTCAAAACCAACCACATTTATTGTTTCGCCCAAGAACATGAAGAAAGATCTAGCTGAGCGTTGGAGACCTCCTGAGATTGTCGGAATTCCACACCGATTATCCAAACCTCAGCGTGAGAAACAGACTTTGCAGGATGAATATTCGAGTATGGACACACTGTATCCCGGCAGCCTGCCTCCAGAACTCCGGGTGAACTCAGATGAGCCTCCAGGGCCCCCTGAGCGAGTTGGACTTTCTCAATTCCATCTAGAGCCCGAAACTCAAAATCCAGAGACGCTTGAAGACATCCAGTCCTCTTCATTCTGGCAAGAAGCCCCAGGGCAGCTTCCACAGCTCCCTGAGGAGGAAGAACCTTCTTCCACCCAGCAGGAGGCCCTAGCTCTGCCTCCAGCATCCTCTGTGGGGAGTCTAACTCTACCGAATCGTGAGGTGACAGTTCAGCCTCCAGGTGAGGATCAAGCTCATTATAACTTGCCCAACTTTACAGTTAAACCTGCAGATGTGCAGGTTACCATAACTTCAGAGGCTGAAAACGAGACAGAATCTTCCCAAGCCCAGCAAGAGGCCCCAGTTCAGTTTCCCGAGGAGGCGGAACCTTCTGCAACCCAACAGGAGGCCCCAACTGAGCCTCCAGGTCCTCCTATGGAGCATGACCTTTCCCCCAGTGAGCAGGAGCAGCCAGCTCAGCCTTTGGAGTCTTCTGGGGAGGTTGAATCTTCTCAGACTCAGCAGGAGACCCCAGCTCAGCTTCCAGAAGAGATGGAGCCATCTGCAATCCAAGAGGAGGCCCCAACTGAGCTTCCAGGTCCTCCTATAGAGGCTGAACTTTTCCCCAGTGAGCAAGATCAGCCAGCTCAGCCTTCGGAGTCTTCTGGGGAGGTTGAATATTCTCCAGCCCAGCAGGAGGCCCCAGCTCAGCCTCCAGAACATCATGAAGTCACAGTTTCACCTCCAGGTCACCATGAAACTCAGCATTCAGATTTGCCCAGTGTCTCTGTTAAGCCTCCAGATGTGCAGCTCACCATAGCAACAGAGCCTAGTGCAGAGGTGGGAACTTCTCC